CCCCAGCCCCTGCTCCTTCCCCTGCCTGGGGATGCTCCCTGCCYTTGCTCCTGTCCCTGCCCAGGGGAGGTGATGGGGCATGGATGGGACTGATGCCACACACTCTGCATGGTGCTGGGCTACAGGCGGTGCKGGGGCTGTGCAGTGTGTGGGGCTGRGGTCTTGCACYGTTCTTCATGCCCAGTGCTGGGCTGCCTCGTTCACAGTGCCAGGGCCATGTAAAATGCACAGTATTTGTCCCCCCAGGCTCATGTCCATCCTGTGGCAGGTCCCATTGCCTAACAGGTAGCCACTAAAGCCCTGCTCGTGCCTGGGCCACCCCAGAGCTGCTGGCTTTGAATCCTTGCCACCCCCTGCCAAAACCCCTGCAAAGTGGGGCTGTTTTGGGAGCAGCGCTCAGGACTGGATGGGAGCTTTGCTCTACTGCTTGTGCTGAAAAGGGGTCTGGTTTAGAGGTGTCAGTTTGCCCTACTGTGTCCTTCCCAGGCTGCTGAACAACGAGGGGTCCTTGCTCGCGTACTCGGGCTATGGGGACACTGATGCCAGGGTCACCGCGGCCATCGCCAGCAACATCTGGGTGGCCTACGACAAGAACGGGCACCAGGCMTTCAATGAGGACAACCTGAAATTTATCCTCATGGACTGTATGGTACGTGGGGCTGAGGACCTCCCTGCCCTCCCTGGGGACCTGCCTGTGGTGCAGTGAGCCCTCAAGGACCGTGCTGGGGGTCCAGGCCAAGCTGGGGTGCCACAGGTGCTGTTTTTCCCTGGGCAGGARGGGCGAGTGGCCATCACACGGGTGGCAAACCTGCTGCTCTGCATGTAYGCCAAGGAGACGGTCGGATTTGGGATGCTCAAGGCCAAGGTAATGCTGGTGGGAAGGTGGCTGGCAGGGCCACAGGGCTGTTGAGGAGGATTGGAATGGAAGGGCTGGAGGAAGCTGCTGTGCCTGGAACACTCCTTTCACCTCTCCGAGACTCCTCTGTCCCCTATGCCTGCCCAGGTGCTGCATCTCATCTTTTTAAGGCTCTAAACTGAAATATAAATTAAAATAAGCAAGTGTAGCATACAGGGCAGTGGGCATACAGGTTACAAAACCCACCTGAGCGCAGCTCATGCTGTTCTCTGCTTGCAGGCACAGGCGCTGGTCCAGTACCTGGAGGAGCCGCTCACGCAGGTGGCCGCATCCTGAGCAGGGAGCACAGGGCTCCTGGTGCTGCTGGGCTCCAACACTGTCACTGTCACCTGCATGGGCTGGGCAAGAGTGTCCCCATGGGCATCCCAGAGCTCTGGTGTGGTCTTTAAAATAAGGTGGGGGGAATACAAAAGCTGGGGGAATAAAAGTGTGTTTGATGCTTGTGTCCATGGTGTCTGTTGTTGGGGGAGTGARGGGTTATACAACCCGGCTGGGCTGGGGGTGCCTGGGCAGTGTTTTGGGGGTGCCCATTGCCCTGGGGAAAGACAAGAGGCTGCAAGGGGCTGTTGTCAAAGGGGAGGGGGTACAACAGTGCCGAGCCCCCGCACAGCCCTGCTGGTTGCACTGGCATAGCTGGGGGGTGGTGGGGGCTCGTTCCTGTCCCAGTTTCCCTGGCTTTCACACGATGGCAGCAGAGGCGAGGGAACGTTCACAGCCGGCAGAGCCGGGCTGCGTGGGGGCTCTGCTCCTGGCACAGCTGCCCTTTGCTGTCCCCACACCCTGCTGTGCCCTGCTGTGCCCTTCACTGTCCCCACACCCTGCACTGCCCTGCTCTGCCCTGCTCTGCCCTTCGCTGTCCCCACACCCTGCTCTGCCTTGCTGTGCCCTTCGCTGTCCCCACACCCTGCTCTGCCCTTGCTGCCCTCAATGCCATCACTGCCCTCACACCCTGCACTGTCCTGCTCTGCCCTTTGCTGTCTCCACACCCTGCTCTGCTCTTCACTGACCCACACCTTGCACTGCCCTGCTCTGCCATCACTGCCCTCACTGCCATTGCACTGCACAGTTCCCTGCTCTGCCCTTGCTGCCCCGTTCTGTCCTTGCTGTCCCAGTCTGCCATCACTGCCCTCGATGCAGTCGTGCCCCTCACTCCCTACTGCTCACAGTGCCCTCCCTGCCCATGCCCCCTCACTGTGTTCAGTGCTCACATTACCCTCCCTGCTCTGTCCTCGCTGCCCCAGCCTGTCCACGCTGCTCTCACACCTCACAGTGCCCTCACACCCCCTGCCCTCGCTGCCCACATTGACCGTACTGTCCGTGCTCTCCTCGCTGCCCCAGCCTGGCCCGCACTCAGGATCAGCCTCTGGCTCCTCCTCCAGCCACCCCGTGACGGTCCCAGGGGTGACACTACCTGCCCAACCTGCGCTGCGACACCCAGTCCCACCCCTTGAGTCAACCGGCCGAGCTGTCGCCGTCCCGGCCGCTGTCGCYGCCGCTGCCCCGGACCCTCCTCGCTCCCCTGAGTCCCCCTCGTTCCTGCTCGCCCCCCGACAAAGAGGAACCTTTGCTCGCTCCGTCTCCTCCCTCGGCGCCTCCGGGAGCCCTGCCCGCCCCGCCGTCTGCTCGGGGCTTGGCAGCGGGAAGGAGGAAACTCGGGCTGGCCCTGCCAGGGCAGGCGGCAGCCGSGGCGACATGGGCAGCGCCGAGGATGATTACAACTTTGTCTTCAAGGGTGAGTCCTGCGCTCGATGCGAYCCCCTCCTTCCCCAAAAGGGATGGAGCAGAAGGCCAGGAGCTGYGTGGAGAGAACGAGGATGCCTTTTCCCCGGAGCTGCTCTGTYCCGAGTTGGGATGTTGCTGACTAGGAGCTAGGAAGGGTCAGAGGGCTGGGGAGCAAGTTGGCAGCACTACTGCCAGCAGTGAAGCTGGTGAGCCCAYAGGGACCCAGGGAAATCCACACTCAGCCCAAGGCTGCAGGTGTGGGGTGCCAGGCAAATTGCAGGCATGGAATRGGGGGATTGTGAAAGTTGAGGCTGAGCATGTGAGGTATAAATGCCCTGAAGAGCCTGAAACCCCCAAGAGCAGTGGGTATTGAAAAGTCACTTGCTGCGGTGACCTGGCCGATGGCACAGGCAAACAACATGCTAGGGGGTCAAACCTGAGCTGGAGGAATGGGGGCACAGCCTCACACCTCCCATCCCGAGTTCCTTGGCCCAAGGCCCCAGTGTCCTGCATGGCTGGACTCTGCTGGACCTCAGTGCTCCCTTTGGCAAGTGGAGACAGACAGGCTCCAGTGTGCCACCCATCCTGGGTGCCCACCAGAGCAGGGTGACCCAGGGCTCGCCAGCATCCTCACCTGGCTCCTGCTGCGCACAGCCCGGTAGCCATAACCCCCTGAACAGCTTTGGGGCTGCAGCAGCACTGGGGAGCACAGCAGGGCTRCCACAGGGACCCCCATTTGCTGAAGGGGTTAAACCCACACAGTGACCTGTCTGGGCCATCAGACAGTGAGTGATGCCCATGCAGCCAGCGCTGGTAGCTGGGGCARACCAGTGGGATTTCTCCTTCCTTCCTTCCTTCCACAGTTGTCCTGATCGGGGAGTCTGGGGTGGGAAAAACAAACCTGCTCTCTCGCTTCACCCGCAACGAGTTCAACCATGACAGCCGCACCACCATCGGCGTGGAGTTCTCCACCCGCACCATCCTGGTGGGAGACGCCGCGGTGAAGGCTCAGATCTGGGACACAGCYGGACTGGAGCGCTACCGTGCCATCACCTCAGCGTAAGGATGGGAGGTTTGAAATCTGAAATTCTGGGGCTTGGGGGGTGTTTGGAACTTGCAGTGATGATGGGATTCTGTCACAGGTATTACCGGGGGGCCGTGGGTGCCCTGGTGGTGTTTGAYATCACCAAGCACCAGACGTACGACGTGGTGGAGCGCTGGCTGAAGGAGCTGTACGACCAYGCCGAGCCCAGCATCGTTGTCATGCTGGTGGGGAACAAGACTGACCTGGCACAGGCTCGGGAGGTGCCCATGGAGGAGGCAAAAATGTTTGCAGGTACAGGCTGGCACCCTGCCACAGGGCTGGGGAACCTTCCTAACAGTGTGGACCTGTGCCACTGGAGGCACTTGRACACCTCTAAAGGTGCTCCAGATTRGAGCCATGTCCTCGYTGGGGTCTGCATCACCTCAGGRTGCTCCTGTCCTTGCAGACAACAACGGGCTGCTGTTTGTTGAGACCTCAGCACTGGACTCCACCAATGTCGAGGAAGCATTCGAGACCATCCTGAAGGGTACGGGTATTGGCACCATCCTGGGCATCGTGGGATCCCTTCCCAGGGACACAGGGCTGGGCAGAGGATGTGCAACGCTTCTCTCCCTGCTCCACCTCTGCTATTTGGGGCTAGTTTCGCGAGGTCTTTGGGGCTGGTTGTGGTGTTGTCTTTCTGGCTGGTTTGGTTTCCACCCTTCAGTGCTGGGTGTTTCGCTCCCCACCTGCAGCTTTGTTCTCATGGCCCCTGGGCATCCCTGAAGCCCCAGGGGCTGCTTCTCCCCCATAATCTCCAATCCCCTTCCTGTTGTCCTGGGATCATGACTTGGTGTCTCCAGCATCCTGCTAAACTGGAAGTGGGGGGACAGGGATGGAGTCCCAGAGCAGCTGTCCAGGAATGGCAGCTGGTGGCATCAGGGCACAGAGGTGTGCCATGCCGTGCTGAGCCGTGCCAAGCTGTGCCATGCCATGCTGAGCCAGCCTGGCCCAGAGAGCTGCCAGCACCAGCACAGAGTGAAGCACTAATCCCAGGTTGGGCAAGAGGAAATTGCCCAAGCACAGGGTGTTCCCAAGGCACCAACAGGAACGCAATCTGTGGGAGCTGCTCCCTTGTTACCCCTCCAGTCACCCCTCTGCTGCAGAGAGGGGAAGGAGAGCCCTGRCATGCCGAGCTGTGGGTGAGCAGCGGGGGCTGCAGGCTTGAGGSTCTCCCTCTGTCCCCAGGGGGCTGACACAGACCCCAGCACCTCTTCTTTTGCAGAAATCTTCCACAAAGTGCAGAAGCAGAAGCAGAGGAGCAGCCAAAGCAATACAGTGTCGCTTGCCAGCGAGAATCCCGTGAGCACAGCCCCAGCACAGGAGGAGAGGCGCCCGTGCTGCGTGGCTCTCTGAGCTCACTGGGCACCCCAGGGAACCCCACAGCCCCGGGACACACGGGCTGCTGTCACCCTGCCTGCAGTGCCACTCCCTGTCCTGGCACAGTGGGGACCAGCAGCCTGGACAGGGACCAAATTCTGCCATAAACAGCGAGAAGCAGCAGTTCTGGGAGTTCTACTCTTTCTGTTTAATTTTGGCTGGGCCCTGATTAGCATCWCCACTGTCACACACCGTCTCAGCCCTTCTCGACCTGCAGGCCAAAGGACCAGAACACTCCTGAGGGACCTCCAGGGAAGAAAGCAGGAGGTTCTGGCCAAAATCATGCCAGCAACGGGAGCCTCTCTCATTGTCTCTGGCCCTGGGGTTGCTCCTGGGGGCCACACTGTGCCATGCATGGAGGATGTGGCTGACCCACAGATATCTGTCCCACCAGAGGGTTGAGCCAAGCCCTAAAGAGTGAAGTGGCAGCACTCAGTCCTTGGCTGTCTCACCCCTAGGACCTGTCCTATCTCTAGACATGGGRCAGATGTGACAGCAGGACCAAAGGAAGGTCCCTGCTGTGTGGGGCTCTCGTGGGACCGGGAGCAGCTCCGTGTCCAGCRCGGGGGTGACACAATCATTAAAGGACTTGTGAAATGCAGCTTTACTGAGCTGGAATTCCTGCGTGTTTGTGGTCGACTCCGTGGCTCCCCACCTTCATAATGTGCTGAAGATTGTAGCCTCCAAAGCGGTCCAGCTGGATGCCATGGCTTCCCTGTGCCCCCTCCTCCCCTGTTCCACGTTCCCTCTGTGCTCACTCCCACCCTAAAGCCCCCTCTCCACGCAGCCTTTCCCAGTTCACCTCCTCTATTTGAACTTTTATCAGCTCAAAGRATGACGCAGCCTCTGCCTGTTCTCTGAAACCCCTCGGAATGGGGACAATTCCTGCTGCATTCTCCGTGGCTTCCCTCTCTTGCTCTTTGCCCCATGCCAGATGTGCCAGCCCAGCCCCATGTCACACCCACGGCTCTGGGTGGCCGTCACTGTCCCCATGGGGAGCACACACGGCTCTGTGTGTGTGTGCAGCTTCCCCTCCGCCCTTACCTGGCTCAGGTGAGCACACCTTTGCGCTGACGGGCGGCTCCGGCCGCCAATGGCTGTGGAGCACGAAAGGCTGTGGCTACCAATGGGTGGCGGGGGCCAGCCCCTGGCAGGGCTGAATCGGGCCCGGAAATCCCAGTCGGCCCAGTGGGAGCGGGYTGTGACGCTGGGCGAGATGCGGGGCAAGGACGATGAGTACGATTATCTCTTCAAAGGTGGGTCTTGGCCRTGGCTGCAATGAGCTGTGCCCGGGCTCAGCCCGTGCCCTCGGGGCTGGCTGCACGCGTGGGACTGGGAGCTGGGGCTTTTATTGGGATATAACGCCCAGTTTCCCTTTTTCGGGATGGGGACGGGGTTCTTTGTGGTGTTCCACTGTGCTGGGAGAGAGTGGGTACTGCTGGGGCTGGGATTGGAGTGTCACGGTGCTCAGAGGGTTTGCTGGAGCTGCTCTGGCAGTGCCCGGTCCCGATGGTCATTAGAGCACCTTTCTCTGCTGCAGGAGCCGTGGCCTGAGTGTCCAGTGCCCTGGGTGGTTTGGCTGTGGCCAGGGCAGGGTGCTGCTCCCGGGAATGCTGCTCCGTGGGGCTCTGTGGGTGCTGTGCCGGTCCCTGGGCACCCGTGGGTGCTCTGCTCACGGGAGAGCACATTTGGRAGCTCAGTAAGCAACCCCAGGAGAGAAAGCCGTGCTTCTGCCCAGCTGCACGGGGAGGGGAAGGCTCCGGGGTGGTCATTCCTGGTCCTGGTGTGGCCTCACCGGACGGGGACACAACGCTGGCGTTTCTGGCTGTGGGATCCCCACATCCCCGTGAAACGCCCCCATCCTTCCGTGTGCCGACTTTCCCTGTGTCCTCTGTGGCTAAAACAGGTGCTGGGCAAGCCAAGGGACATTTTGGCAATGCCACAGCCTCCTGAGCCATGAAATCCAGGGTGTGAGCTCAGCGGTGGGTGGCTGTGAGTCAGCCTGCCCACAAAGCCCCGGGTAATTCTAGCCACCGACACGACGTAATTCCAGCCAGCACTGTGCCGGTAGCCCCTGGCTCCTCGCACACCTCTCCTGGCYGCTGCCCAGGAAAATCCTCCTCGCTGGAGTTAGTCTGGGACCTGGTGTGAGGGAAACTCTGATGCTGAGTGGTGCCTCGAGTGTGATGCCCAGTCCAAAACTCTCCTGCAGGAGCCAGGGCTGGCAGCAGCTCCCCACAGGTTCTGCATTCCCCTCCTTGTGGTGGTCTCTGGAGTTTTTTTAAAAATGGGGAACTCGGTTTTCAATGCAAGGGCAGCTCATCCCTCCCAAARCAGGAGCAAAGTCCAAGGGGGATGCAGCATCCTGGGGCATGGAGCTGTGCTGAGGCTCCTGGGGTCCAACAGCTCTGCAAAGCTCAGCTTTTCCCTGAGCAAAGAGAGATTGTCACAGCTGGAAGCTGCATTTTCCTGAGTTCCACTGAAATTTGAGCATCAGTTGTTGCAGAGCACAATGCAGGGCCCTGATACAGCTGGAGGGGCTCAGGCTGGTTGAGGAGCAGCTCTGGGCATGGTTGCTCCTGGGACCCTTCCCTGGGGCTCTGTGAGGAGCTCCAGGCTGTTTCCATCCCTGCAATAAGTCGTGGTGTGCTGATATTCACCAGTGCTCCTTGGGAGGCAGCGAGGACAGGGTGTGTCAGATGCCTGGGCTGGGGGATGCTGCTCCAGCTCCTTGAGCCATTCAAACTCAGGGACATCATCCCCTCATCATCCCCACAGGCTGCAGGACCCCACACCACCCACCTTGTGTGCTCCAAAGCCCCCAGAGCACTGCCAGSATGGGGAGTGTGGCAGTTGAGATGGGGAAGCAGCAATTTCCCGTTGTYGGTGAAAGACTGAGCCCAGATCAAAACTTGGAGGATCAGGAAGTGATAACGAGCCTGGCTCGCCACTGGCCTACATTTCCTGGCTTGTCCAGGGTAGTCCAGGCTGCTGTGGTGCTCTCAGACCTCTGTGAAGTGGGCAGCAGCTGGGCAAAGGGGGGAATTGTACCCCTCTGCCCCACTCTGGTGAGACTCCCCCCATTCAGAGCCTCCTCCAGCTCTGGGGCCCCTGCACAGGAAGGGTGTGGAGCTCCTGGAATGAGTCAAGGAGGCCACAGAGATGCTCCAAGGGCTGCAGCCTCCCTGCCCTGGAGCCAGGCTGGGAGAGCTGGGGGCATTCAGCCTGGGGAAGGGAACGCTCTGGGGAAACCTCAAAGCCCTAAAGGGGTTCCAAGGGAGCTGGAGAGGGACTTTGGACAAAAGCCTGGAGTGACAGGACAAGGGGGAATGGCTTCCCACTGCAGAGGGCAGGGTTGGGTGGGATTTTGGGARGGAATTCTTGGCTGTGAGACCCTGGCACAGGGTGCCCAGAGCAGCTGTGGCTGCCCCATCCCTGGACATGTTTAAGGCCAGGTTGGAGCAGCCTGGGACAGTGGAATCAGGGGGGTAGAACAAGATGGATTTTGTGGTCCCATCCACCCAAACTGCGCTGTGATGCTGTGGAGAAGCTGCCCTTCCCTCATTCCCTGGCTGTCCTGACACAGCAACTGCCAGCAATGCTCTGGTGCCTCCCTGCTTCCCTCAGCGATCCCAGGGAGCTGTTTCACATCCTGCTGGCCTTCCTGGAGCCAGGCTGTTTGCTGGCTGCCCTGCACTGGGAACTTTGGGGTGTTTCCATAGTTTGAGGCTTTGGACCATGAAAGGGAGCCACATCTACGAGCTGGAGCTGTGGGAAGGAGTTATCAGGGCATGGAACAACATTTGTGCAGGATGAGGGCTGCTGAGCCATGGCTGAGTGTGGCATCCCAGTGGCTGGTGCTGCTGTTCTCCTGTCCTCCCCACCCTGGTCACTGGATGGTTGTGACCTCAGCCCTGCTGTTGTCCAACCCTGCTGGGGAGATTTGTCCCCAAATGTCCCCAAATTTGTCCTGACGTGAAGTGACTTTCACTGAAGTGAAAAGTCTGAGTACTCCCGTGGAATGAAGAGGATCAGCAGTGAGGGAATTAAAAATAACATTAAAAAATAAAAACAAAAACCTGTTGAGTCATAAACTCAACAAACTTGACCAGGGAGGTGTGTGATAAAGCTCCACGGAGCCTGTTTCACCAGGTTTTACAGGAACCAGTCAGATCTGGGACAGGCAGAAAATGCATTTAACCCACACCCAGGGACTTTCCAGCTCATGGGCTGGACCAGCAGTAGTGAAGGAGGAGGAGGAGGAGGATGCTTCCTTTCAAACCTTTCAAACCTCTGAATCCTCAGGGTTGGAGGGCAYAGAGGTTTGGAAAGAGGAGCCCAGCTCTGGCTGTCCCCACAAAGCTCCTGACCCCGGTTTTCTGCCCATTTTGGGTACATCAGTGTATACAGTGCTGTCCCATGCCCAGGGACACAACTCCCCACAACTTCCCAGCGATTTTCTCAAGGGGTATTTACAGGAGGAGTGGAAGCAGCTGCTCCTGCTCTGCTTTTCCTGGCTGAGATAAAGCAGCAATCTGGATGGGGTGTGGGGCAGGTGGGTGATTCCCATCCCTGCCAGGCTGTGGGGTGGGCAGTTTTGGGACCTGACACCATTCTTGTGCCCCTCAGTTGTGCTCATCGGGGACTCCGGGGTGGGGAAGAGCAACCTGCTCTCGCGTTTCACCCGCAACGAGTTCAACCTGGAGAGCAAGAGCACCATCGGCGTGGAGTTTGCYACCAGGAGCATCCAGGTGGACAACAAGACGGTGAAGGCTCAGATCTGGGACACGGCCGGGCAGGAGCGGTACCGCGCCATCACCTCAGCGTGAGTGTCCTCGTTCCCAACCCGCAGCCTTTGACCAGACCCTGCTGTGACCCCATCCCTTCACCATCTCCAGGTATTACCGGGGKGCTGTGGGGGCTCTGCTCGTCTACGACATCGCCAAGTACCTGACGTATGAGAACGCRGAGCGCTGGCTGAAGGAGCTGCAGGACCACGCYGATGCCAAYATYGTCATCATGCTGGTGGGCAACAAGAGCGACCTGCGGCACCTGCGGGCAGTGCCCACCGATGAGGCCAAGAGCTTTGCAGGTACCTTCCCCCATCCTGGTCCCATCCCATCTGGATGGAGCTCATGGCTCCAAATATCTCTGGAGTTTGGGAGATACTCCAAATATACCCACCTGAGCTCACCCTGTCCTTGCAGAGAAGAACGGGCTCTCCTTCCTYGAGACGTCTGCTCTGGACTCCACCAATGTGGAGACGGCTTTCCACAACATCCTCTCGGGTAAGGGGCAGCCAGGAAAAGAGGGGGCAGGGATAGAGATGGCTTTGGGCATTGTGGATTCCCCTGGGGGCCCTGGCTGTACCAAGTGGGGTTTGGGTTGCAATCCTGCTCCCCTGGATGGGGACAGGTGGGCATTTGCACCCCTGGAGATGTGTGTTGGTGGAGGGAGCAGATCCCCCCCAAATATCTACTTTCAGAATTGTTTTTTCACTTCCCATGTYTCTCTGCTGGCAGAGATCTACCGCATCGTGTCCCAGAGGCAGATGACCGGGCAACCGGAATCGGAGTTTGGCCCTTCCACCACCATCGAGCCCATCCGAGTGCTGCCCACRCAGCAGGAGAGCCGGCAGGCGCCCTGCTGCCAGAACATCTGAGCCCCTGGGGTGCCCCCACCTCATCCCCCCACCACCCAGCACATGGTGGCATCGCCTGTGTCACCCTCTGCTCGTGCCCGTGGCTGCTTTCGTGTCACACTGCCCGTGTGCTGCTCCACCTGTGCTTGTGTAGGACCTACAAAAACACGGGGAGCCAAAGCATCGGGATGTCCCCCTTCTCTCCCCAAGTTGGGGGCATGCCACCCTGTGTTTCTGATCCCTTTAGCCCTGCAGGCACAGCCACCAGGTGACTGGGTGGCACCGAACAAGCCCGAACACGGCGAGTCCCTGTGAGGTGACGAGTCCCTGTAAGGTGACACCCTGCCTGCAGCCCCACGGGGTGGGTGGGGAGGGGGACACTGGGTGCACCCTTCTCTTCTGCCCAGTGAAACCAGCAGTGATGCTGCTGCTTGTGCCCAGACCTGTCCCTGCGGCATCGAGAGCTGGGAGTGCCCCCAGGCGCTGATGGGGACATCCGGGGTGGGGTGTGGGGATGACAATGTCTCTGTGCTGTGACCCCATTGAGGCATCACCCCAGCAAAGGGTAAAGCTGGGACTGTTTTACCCTTTACCCCCAGCAAAGGGTAAAGCTGGGACTGTTCCATGGAAAGAAATGGGAGCAGGGGCTGGGGGCTTTTGCAGAGCCCCGAAAAGGGGACAAGGGGGGGCACAGGGATTTGGGGGCTGAGGGTCAGGGCAGGGATGAGGTGCTGAGGGTGGGTGCAGTCCCTGCATGGGAGCCACTGTCACCTCTGGGGTCCGCTGGGCTCCAGCTGTGATGATCCCCTGGCATGGCCTGGCCCTTCCCTGCTGGAGCKTGTGGCCACCGTGGCTGGTGGCACGGCTCAGCCTGGGGACATGCCACCAATGGGTGGAGTGTCTGCTGCCTTGGCAGGGTGACAACAGCCCTGTCCCCTGCCTGGGGCCACCCCCAGGGCAGGCACCACCCAAGATGCTGGGACAGACTGTGCTGAGCCCMRTGCTGCTSTCAGRGTGATTGACAGGTGTCAATCAAGARGGGTGAATTGGCCCAGTACTGGGARTGTGGCTCCTGTGGCAGTTTGTGGGTTTGGGGGCATCTCTTTCTCTCCACATGTCACCCCATCTCACTTGGCTGTGCCAGTAGGATCTGAGCCAGGGTTTCTCCTTGGGGCACGATTTGTCAATGAAACAGTAATTGAGGCAAAATCCCCAAATAAAGCTGCTGTCGAGGCTTTTTCTCTCTGCTGGGTGTTTCCTTGAGGCAGGAGCGGTGCCAGCCCCACACGGGTGCAGGCAATGCAGGGTGAGGAGGAGGAGGAGGATTGGGAGGAAGGTGTAACTGCAGCCTGGGCAAGGGGGTGCCCTGCTGGGTGGCCAGAGGGGCAGGTTTGAAAGTCAGGATCAGAAGGATGGGTTAGATCCTGCTTGGGTCGGGCTCTGCTTGCCCCYGTGCCCACCCCAGCTGGCCAAGCCCTGTCAGACACACCGACCAGCTGGAGCTGCTGAACACCTCCTCCTCCTCCCACACCATCTGCCCACACCAAAAGGGTGCCAGGAGGTGATGTCAGCCCCGCCGGCTGCAGGGCTGGGTGTGYRGGGCACGGGTGCTGCTCCAAAGGGACAGCGCTGAGCCAAGTGTCCCTTGGGGCTGGCTGCTCTTGGATATGCCATCAACCWGGCACTGGCATGGACACACATCATGGTGAGCTCGTTTAGGCTTGTGGAGACACTTTTGGGCTGGGTGATATGAGTTTTGTTCCAGGCTTTCCAGTTTTTAGGTGATTTGTGCTGGGATGAAGAAGTGGGAAGGGTGAAAGTGGGGCATGGGGTGGCAGCAGGATTGGGAGAAGCAGCTGCCTCAGGAGGTTCATCATCTCAGAAGCGCTTTAAKGAACCCCAAAAAGTGCTGCCAAAGGCATGGGGCTGATGGGAGACCCAGGAGGGTGCAGAGGGAGGTGCAACCCCACTGCCCTGGAGCTCAGCCCAGCAGGGCCTTGTTCCCAACCACTGCTCCTGGCCCTTCCTCAAGTGTGAACAGACAGAAACCAAGACCAGATACCAAGTTTCTTAAGTAATAATACTTTAATAAAATTAAGTTCTTAATGTAATTTAGCACATTTAATACATTAACCCTTTCCCTTCTTTGTTTTCTACAAGTTGTGCAACATCATTATTTTAATTTTATTTTATTTTAATTTTTTTCCTTCTCCCATTATACTATATGCCTCAAAACTCAGACAACAAGCCTAACTCTACTTCTATGTTCGGTTATATCTCTCTCTCAGGCCTTTATTTTTTGCGTAATGCCAGAGAGATGAAAATACCTGGATGGAACATGTGATCGGTTTCCAATAGTAACAATCCCGACTACAGGTTTCCTATGACGTTAAAAAAAAAGAGGAAAAAAAAAAAAAAAAAAAAAAAAAAAAAAACCAAAAAAACAAAATAAAAAGCAAACACAACAAATAGGGAATGGACTTTTTCAATGGAAGGGCCACACAGTCAGGATGGCCGGCAGTGGCCGGTGACTCGGTGGCCGGCTGGCTCAGCACAGGGTGGGAGTACCRTGGAGCAGGACAAATACACGGTGCCTGGATCCCAGGGAAAGCAGATACACATGAACTCATCCAGCAGCCTGAAACGAGCGTGAGAGGAAGCCAACGTGGTGCTGGGCAAGCAAAACCATGAAAGGGCTGGGCAGGGCTCTCCCCTGGGTGGGTAAGGTGAGCTCAGCTGCTGCAGGGACCCCGTGTTAGCACAGATCTCACGGGAGAAATCCCACTGGAGCTGCTCTGYCCCAGTCCCAACGGCAGCAAACTGGAGCCTGGAACTCTTTGATACGCAGGCAGAGCCGGAGGAAATCTTTTGCAGCCCCACAGGCTCCCGACTGTGCAGTTGGATGCCCGGGGGCTGCTCTGGGCATCCCTGGGGATTTTCTTKGCTTGCCTGGGGCTGGGATCAGAGCAGATCTGCTCCATCAGACCTGCCAGTCTGGGATCCACCAGTCCTCGTGCCCAAAGCCTTTCATGTTTGCTTCACACCAACCCAGGAGCAAATCTCATACTGCAAAACAGGATCCGGCTCCTGGTCTTTTTTTCTCTCCTTTTTTTTTTTATGATTATCTTGAAGAGAATTCATAAAGAAAAAGGAAAAATAATGCTGMTGGTTTCACAGATAAGCAAAACAGCCTGTGACCGGGTCTTGTGTCCCAGCTTTCGGGAGCCAAGAGCAGATCTCTGCGGCCACACCACGCTGCTACATCTCACTGCTCCATTTCTGTGCAAGTTGTTGTTTCAAAAGCATCCTCACAAAGCCCAGAATGCACATCCTGCTGTCAGCAACCCGGTGCCACCRTTGGAGGGGGACTTCATTTTCGCACAGACGGTGGAACTACTCCAGATTTTACATTAGTGTCACTTTACTGGGGGTGACTTTCAATTTGCTCCATTAGCAGCCCTGAAGCAACGCTGGAGTGGATCCAGCGGGGATGCTGCAGCCTGCCAGGGCTGCAGTGACTCCAGATTCCAGCAGAGTAACCCCCTGGAACTGGGAAGTCACACGGGAGGGAGGCAGGAGCTGCACAAGTGCTGCTGTCTCCCGAAGTCTGCCGAGCGCTGCTCCAGCTGAATTTTTCAATGGGTCAGCTGACAGCAGAACGTGACTTCAAGTTTCTACAGGATGTGAAAACCCACACTAAAACACAAGAGATTGCTCCCTAACATCCTAGAAAGGGTTTTGGAAGAAGCAGCCCAAGCTGGCTCTGCTGCCACCAAGGACACCTTGCTGGGGCTGTACACAAGTGACAATAAAGTGCATCCACTCTCCCATCCAGGGCACCACCGTACAATGTCCATCACTGACGCTTCTTCAAGTATCAAAACGAAAAAAAAAAAAATGAGGTAAAAACAAAACTGAAAGAGCAAACAGGCCGCCTTGCCACCCCGGCAGGGAAGGAGCAGGCGCTTGATTCGACCGAGCACGAACCCCTCCAGAAGCGCGGGAGACGTCGTGCTCCTGCTTCCCGAAATGCCTCAGCATGCCGGGAGGGTCCCGGGCAGGGGATCTCAGATTCACAGTGCTATTTATACGCAGAAACCGAATGAGAACTGTCTTCATTCCTGTCCTGACCTATTGCATGGCTTTGCTGAGTGATGAATGCTGGTAAAGGCTGCCACAGCCCCCTGGAGCAGGCACTGTCACAGARCCAGGGGCAGCCACCGCGCTTCTCGAAGGATTTGGGATCTGTGTGGATGATCCCAAGCTGCAGGAGATCCCTGTGTTTGCTACGCCTGAGCCACAACACAGAGGAGAGGAGCAAAGGCTAAACCCAGAGGGAAAAACCTTCCAAGGGTGTTTTCTTTGTGCCACCCGGCTTTGCTAATGATGCTGTTGCCTCTCGGGTGCTTCTTTCTGAGTTCTCTCCTTTAAAACAGAAATTTTGGAGCAGACAAAAGCATCACCAGCGCTCCAAAGAGAAATGCTGGCCTGTCTCTGGAATGAGTGGAGCAGCTGGCAGGGGCATGGGGCACTGGGCTGTGCTGCCCTGCCCTGCAGTGCCCAGAGTGACTGCCATCACAGCACCCCACTGCCGGCTCCAGGAGCTCTCATTCCCACTCTTGGTGCTGCAGGGACTTGGGATCCTTCCAGATCCTGGACACTGTGCCAGCTAAGAGTGGCCTTCAGCCTCCTCYGTGCCACCAGTGTCACCCTCCCACGAGCAGGACAGCATCGGGGTGGCCGTCAGGAAGCAAAGCTGTGGGATCAGGGACATCGTGGTGGACCAGCAGGGATTTCTGCAAGCATCTCGTGCTCAAACCTGCAGGCTGAGCAAAGAAACACCCAACAAACCAAATCTCCTGGAAGATGCCACGTGCCACAAACGAGGGAGCTCGTCCCGAAGGCGCACGGTGTCTCAACCGGGGTGAGAGAGAACCGAGAGAAAGAAAGAAAGAAAACAAACCAAGAGGGAACAAACCAACCCTACCTAATGCCCTGGCACTGCCCAATGCGAGGGCAGAGCCTCTGCCCGGCACCTCACTGCCTTCCAGCTCTGTCTGTCTGTCACCTTACAGAGGGGAGATCACCCAATCTTCCTTTCCTTCGCCTTCCCGCCCGGGATGAGCCCACCTGCCCATCCCGGGATCTTCCCACACCTTTGGTGCTTGGAGAAGTTCAAAAATTAAGAACAGCCCAAGGAAAGTAACAGCAACTTTGAACATTTTTTTCTGCAATTTCCTGCTCCAAGCCCAAGGCTGGAAGTCAGAATAAGGCAAAAATTAATGGCCTAAAACTTCCTTATTTTGTTCCATGACTAGCCAAATCTGTCTATTTTTATTAAAAAAGCAACATAAAACCCCAAACGTATCTTTTTAAAAAAATACATATTATTAGATCCCTTTTTTTGTCTTTTTTTCCCCCCTCTATAAAAATAACTTCAAGACTTTGATTGACAGAAGGTACCAGTGGGTGGCCATTATTTTGTTAGGCTTTCGGTCATTTATTTGTTTGCTTCAGAAAAATAGTACCAAAAAAACATGGAATTCCTGGGGAAGTTAACAATGATCGTGTTCACAAGTTTATTTTACATTCTGCTCTGTCTGGGATCACTTGGATCTACTATAGATTAAACAATATGGATAGCATCTACTATTTGAACTAGTTATTTTTTTTTAATCTTTACTCTAGGATTATATGAAATAAATTTGAGTGTTTATTATTATTAACATTTTTTTAATACCCATCAACGCAAACTTTTTTTTTTTCTTCTTCTTCTCCTTTTTGGTTAAAAACAAACAAACAAACAAACAGAAAAAAGAAAAAAATTTCTTATTTTAAAATGCTTCTTTGAAAGGCAACAGAGCAGAAGCATTGCCCCGTCTTCCTGCTGCTTTGGGAGGGGGAGCGGGGCAGGGGCTGGATTTAGGGGTGAAKGGGCTGATTTAGGGGTGAGGGGGACACATCACCCCACTCTCCCCAGCCCACAGAGGGGTTGTGGCTGC